TTAAAGCAGTAATTTGGGTTAATCGGCAATCTAAGAGTGATCTTAATGTTTTATGATCATGTCAGTATGTATTTCAAACTAGTAACCAATGAAGGCTTGAAATAAAAAAATGCTAGACTCTATATATATCAACTGTTGACAATATTGCAAGACTTTTAGGCGGTCAGTCATTGTCGTCTGCCGCATTGAAATTGCATGCATTGATACAACCGCTGCATCAATTCACATTTGATTGATTGCCTGTATATGGCATTTTAGTAGTCAATGTTTCTGTTAAATAGATATGCTGAGATCGTTAAGACCATTATATGTACTTAAAATAAAAAATTATATGTTGAAAGAAACAGGGTTATACGCTACATATTACATATGCTATTACATATATTCTTGTAAATATTGTCACCGATTAAATATTATTTAAGAACGTATGAGGACTGATTACAAAATCCTTCGTCATGTCCTTCAAAATCACTTTCAGATTACGAAACATTTATCGATAGTAAATAACCTTAAAAACGTGGACCCAAGACGCAAAAAATGTTCTACTGCAGTTGTGTCCCAGATCTTGACTTTCAGCATGACAAACAGGAACGGCTTATTACTAAGCTATATGAAAAGCATAACGACGATTTTTTTTTTTGATCTTGAACTTTCCCGTTACTGATAGCTACATACATATTTCCCTTAATTAAGATGTTGATGTGCAGTACTTGATTCTCGGTATGCAAGAGTAAAATCATGATAATTGATTAATGTTTACAATACAGGGTTCCCAAAGATGCAGATTGTTTGAAATTATCGACTAGTTTTATGGTCGCCAACATGATAGCATTAGGAACTGTGTTATTTCTTTGTGCAATGTAAGTTTTTGCTTGCTGTTTCGTTCTCACTAGGAAGACGTAACATGACATTCATTTGACCTATATTAACATGGCAGATGTTGTCAATGAAGTATAAGACGCTGACCCTTCCGGAACACATCGTCTTACTATTATGATACGATTTCAAAGGTTTACATGTTTTGACATTTATTACATGCACATATGTATTATAAGACAAAAATAACACAGGAATGCGCTTTAAACACACAAAAACTTGTATTTTAACATAGGAAACGTCAGAAGATATATTTACGGGAGAGTAACAGTGACACCCTTGTTTGCGATCAATAATATTGTCGTTCATGCTTCAACGGTCGTCGTTTTTTATACAAATTAGTTCAAAATATCATTTATAGTTTTTTTTCTGTTAAAAAGCGTGTGTATGGAAAAGCCAATGGCGAAAAGATTGTTTAAAATAAATTCCACATAGTTTTAAGGTTCATGGTATTTCTCTGCGCAAATCTATTTATTTACGTTTGTCTCAGGCCGATGATTTGCGAACGATAACCATTGAGCCTAGAAGTCATTTGGAAATATGGTGTTTAGTTGACTTTTTTTTTAAATTAAGAAGTATATATAGTTGTAGTACACAGATGATAAACAGTTTATCACGCAGTATTCTCAGTGTATGTCGTTCGAACATCTCTGGCACGAGGATAAAGTCTCGAGTCCACCTGTGATGGCCTCGCGATGAGAAAACTGTTCTCTCGACAAAACCTGAAAATACAGTGTGATGATCTATGAATATAAAAACAAAGATATAGACATTTTGATATCACCAAAAAAACCGTCAGTGGTCTTTACACACGTATTTTTTTACTATAAGTTACCAACTACTTGTCATTAGTGGTACATCACAGCCATAGATTGTACCCAACTTAACAAACGTGTTGTTTTAATATACTGTATAACGACATTGTCATGAAGAGTTCACACTAGACATGTACTTTGTGTTTTATCGTGGTCACCTAGAACGTGAACCAATGTACCAAACAGACCCATCTATCTTGATCACTGCACTATTGTCACTATTACCTGGGAAATCCTAGAAAGCATCCTGTTTTCTTATATTTAAACATAAATAAATGGTTTTCAATTAATATAGTAATGCATGTACATTGAGAGATCATTATTCCTGACTTTATCTCCCTGAATCGCTGTTTATAATAAATATGTTTCACCTTCGATGAGCTAACAAGTGTGTCAACAAACATGATTTTACACTTTCTAGTTGTCTAGTGTCTGCGAGGTTTTTCTTTAATTTTGTTACCTTAAATTAAGGTAAAAAAATAATCTGAAATATGATTTATACATTATTTCGGATATATATATACTAGCGGAAAATAGAAACTGTGCATGCCTAAAATGTGTTATAAAAATAAATGTGTAAATAACAACAGGGACAATTTATTTGTTATTTATTAACAGTTACATTCCATTTTCCACGTTATGGAATCAATAAGTTCCGCTCAGGAGTAACGTAAACACAGCAGGGGTCAATACTAAGTTCACAAAGTTAAAACCTCGTATGTACACCGTTTGCCTGAATGCAAGCCTGGCAACGTCGACGCATGGAGCCTATCAGACGGTGCAAGAATGCTTGTGGGATGGCATTCCAGATCTGTACCAACACTGCAGCCAAATCGGCCAACGTAACCGGTTATTTAGGTAATACCCGTAATCTGCGCTTCATTTCATCCCAGACGTGTTCAATGGGCGACAGATCTGGAGATACAGCAGGCCAGGGCAAAACGTCAACGTTCTGCTGGGCCAGCTGTGTGTGGCCTGGCGTTGTCCCGCTGTAGCGTAATGTGATGTTGCTGCCCTTGCACGAATGAAACGACGTGGGTCCAGAGGATCTCGTCACGGTAACGTAGCGCTTTCAAATTCCCGTTAACAACCACCAGAAGCGTTCTCCCGTTGGCTGTGTTGCCGCCCCAAATCATAACGATTTCTCAAATGGACAAGCCGAATATGGTTGTCCTGTTGATGTGACGTCACACATGGACGTCCCGCACGAGGTCGATCGCTAACGTGGCCAAACTGTTGATGTCGTCTCCACAAATCCCGGACTGTCTTTCGATGGACATGAAAACGTGTAGAGACAACGGCTTGGCCCATACCAGCTTGAAGCATACCAATAATCCGAAGGCGGTCATTTTCATTGAGCCTCGGCATAGCATAAATCACAAATCAAAACGTTATAATGCTGTTTTTACTGTTCACTGGTCTCAACAGAGTGACCAAACAGTTGAAAAATAAACATTCATTGTCGAATTGGATGGGTGGACGAGAAAAACGTGCAAACTGATCAACGCCTATAGAGAGCAAACTGCACGGGAAAAACTGTTAATGACACACGGATAGTATGTATGTGTCATACTCGGTCATGTGTGTGAAGTTCCATGTCTATACAGTTGGTAATACATGTTCTATAGCAATTCTCCGCATGCACAGTTTTTTTTCCCGTTAGTATATTATACGAAATCAACGTAAAAAAATCAAATAATGTTACAGTTTAGTTACGCTTTCATACACAAGTATTCACAGTTAATGGCAAATTATCTAGTTGCCCTCATCCTTCCTCATGTCTTCAGAGAAGTCATATAATCTGATATCAGTGATCTTATCCTACTGGGTTCCGATTCATTTTCATCGAATCCAAACTGTTTTCTCTTTATAGTTATGTTGTTATTTTTTTCAAACTAAAGTGTAATAATTATTGTTATTTAATAACCTTGCCTGTGGATAAATTCCATTGGCAGCCGAGGTTTATCTTGTACTTATTTATTGTAATTATTATTATTCTATTTGGATACAAAAAATGTATGAGATGTTGCTATTGCATGGATATACTTATATGTACCTATTCCTCTTTTCTTCTTTTTCTTTTCTTCTTTTTTTTTTCTTTTTCTTTTCTTCTTTTTCGTTTCTTCCTTCTTTTCTGCTTTAAAACTAATTGACTACAGAAACATGAGTTTGACGCAATATGCTTTTTCTACATTGATGTTAGATTGTATATTGTTCTTGAATATAATTGTTTGTTTCAATTGGTTGATATTGTGTTTTTGCGTCAAGACCCACATTTTGTTCAGAGATTCATTCTGGATACTAGACGTTTTTATTAGAGTTCTTCTCGTTTCCTAAGAAGAGTTTTTGGTGTAGCGGGTATTAGTCGGCTTGTCCTGGTGTCCCAGCTCAAAAAGTGTGAGTTTATGGGCAATTTGTATGGGCTGGTCTCAAGTTCATGTATGATCGACCGACCCTTTTTGTAGCAATCGCTTTATATTACATAAAACAATCGGTGATTCAATAATTTAATGATTTCTTATAAAATTTCATACCATTACTTCTATAAATTTATATAAGGCTGTATTTTTCTACTTCATTAGATGTATGCACAGTTTATAGAAAAGAGTTTTTATAGGCTTTGCCTGTTGCCCAGTTTCGTTTGTATGTAAGATCTATACAATAAAATATTCTGAAATGAAAATTGTATAATTATCTATTGTGTATTTTAAGCGACTACATCCAAATTTGTGTTACTGTGACGTCATCAAATTATATTTAAATGATGTCTGATGATGTTATAACTTAACAACTAAGACAAGCTAATATGGCATTTATCTCAAAAAAATCTTAATGTTATGATAAAAAAATCCCTAAATGCGTGTTACATTTCGTAAGAAGTTAATGAAAATCTTCATGCTTTTTCAATCCAGCTCGCAACAGGATGACCATAATGAAAAATTCTTCGACTAGTCTCATAAATACCAAAAAGGTCGTCTAATTTGGAAAATATTATAAGTTTGTGATTGACCCCATGAGAAGTACATTTCTAGGAAAATATCAGTGTCAAAACATACATCAAAAATAACATAGTTTCTATCAAAACTTCTAGATATGAATATAAAGTTCTCTAATATCAAACATTTCCATATTTTCAAACAAGCAAAAAGAACCCTTTGAAAGGGAGCATTGTAATGATATGTAAAAACATGTGTTATCAGGAAAAAATGAATTGTCTCCCCTGACACATTGGGGTTTTGCTAGGCGGGTAGATATTCGAATGTATATAAAAAAATATATGCATGCACACTTATATATAAAGTATGTCGATATATGACCGCATTATTTTTATTATTTTGTCTAGATGTATATTAAGTTAGGTGGTAACTTGTCTTTTGATGGTGTTTATGCTCAGGTGTGAAACCGAATTGACACTTATGAATCTGACTGAAACCAAAGCAGGGATTAATCGCGTGCGATTAAGATAATCACGTTATAATTCTTGGGAAATGATTGATAAATACTCCTGTTCTGTTTTGCATGTCACTGATAATGTCGATGTTGTTATCAAAGTACTGTAGCAACATAGTCCATAAGATTGTTGATATGATAATGCTGTTAACACCGTGCTTTCACAGTTAATGTTGATACACACAGAAACATTCGTTTCAGGTTTGATATTGTATTTGTATCACTTTAACAAGTTTTCAAGAATATCACCAACAGCAAGTGACACCGTTTGTAGACCTCCATCCTGATGTACTTGACCTACTCTATTTCTATTACTGTAATAGTATCATTTTGTTCTTTCTTTTGATTTGCTGTGAAAATCTGGTCGTCCTCCGTCTTTGTTTTTCTTACGCATGCGTAGATAAGGAGAAATACTAGCTCAACAACTGACATACCGATCCACAAGCCAAGTTGCCCTCCAATGTCACTGACAAAGTTCTCACTCTGGAAATATATTGTAAATAGGAATGTGAACGCTAAGAACCTAGTATGCAGACTACAAGTTTAAAGTGTATCATAAAATTATAACAAATGGTATATATTTTTTATTTTTTTACAAGCTTTTCGTCTTACTTGCATATAATTTTTCCAAATTTTGCAAAACGTCTTTATTTGAAACAGAACTTTGTCGTGATCAAATTGTTATGGATTGCTCCTGTAATTTTTTTATCAATATTCAATAGTATGAATCCAATAGCTCACCTAATAACTAAGCATATATAGTGAACGACATTCTCTATGTAAGATCAATATTTGAACACGTTTTCAGACCGAACGCAATGAAATAAGGCACTTGCTAGGTAATATAAGTAGTATATTATGACAGGGATATAGAGAAATATAAAGATGTTGTGAGCAAATACACAGAGTTTCGAATCCGGTACCCTAAGTTATGATAGATATGCTGTCTTTGACCTGCTTTCTATAGATAAAACTAAATGTTGGTGTTTAGTGTCTTTAGTTGGATTAATATAATATCGATTTGATATATAGATAAAGGAAGTTCTCAAAGTAAGACGTTTCTCAGACGTACAGTGTAGGCCATTTCCTCTGTTTTTGATTCCGTAAGAAGACTTGTATAGTACACCCGCAACTTTATCAAGTCGTTGCTGAAAACCAAAGATAAGACAGTAAATCTACAATAACACAAGGAAACACTGATGAGTCGTGAAATTTGACAGACAATTATAATTTTTCTGTGTCCTTAATTATAGTAATAGATGATCAATTCAACACTGAACCAAACGGTACAACAACTGTTAATTTCATTTTCGCTACGTCGTTTTTTATGAATAAACGCCTTGCTGCACATTTGCGAATATAAGTTACAGTTAACAGTTTTGTTTAATCTGCAGTTCCCGTCTTACCTTTTTAGCGAATGATTTTCAAACTTCTTGACGTAAGGTTCGAAATTCTTAGATGGCCATTTTTTCATAGAAACCGATTTTTCATACGTGGTTTGACTGCAAATGGAATTTATTTAATTTCTTTAAAAGACAGAAATAATTTCAGTAAGACAAACATTGAGTTAACTAATTCACAAATATTGCATATAGCTTAGATGGAAATGAATTGATTTAAATAGCATCATTTATTAAATGAACATGTAAACTGATTGTATTAAATCTTTATCTGTTAGGGAAGGGAAGATTTGGTTGGTTTAACGTGTGCTGGATACAGTGTGTTGGTGTATTTGCCTACTTGTGATAGCGCGGATCTGATGCCGACCTTATAGTGCTACCACACTAAAAATACGATGCCGTCGACATGCAGCTCAGCATTCCGTCTGGTCACATTATACTGGCAACGCGTAAACTTGTTGTTGCATTTACCCAAAATGTCGAACGTTAAGAAGAGAATAACAACTACTTACTGGGTAGGATGTAAGATTTTTATCAAGTATTTTCCTAATTATGATACTACTGTTGTTTTAACATTTCATAGTTGTTGTGTTTTAATAATAAACGGCATTAATTTAATGTTGAAGCGAAATGTATTTCATTTTATTCCTACCTTTCTTGTCTCTTTATTGAAGTAGATAGAAGATGATTCATTTTAAAACAATGCTATATCTTCACATTTAAAAATTCGAAACAATTTAGACATTCATCACCTTACCTTCGATTTTCTGTGTTGTTGATGCACCCTAAACGCTAGAAATTACTTTATGGTGCAGTAAAGGTTTAATTTGTTTTTGCATTGTTTAAGTTAATATTTTAATGGATTTTAATCATAACATTGCTGCTTTAATGTTCAAATTCACGAAATGCAAATGAATTATATCAACGATTGATAGATTAACAAAAATACGCAATATAATGCACTATTTATTTCGCTTTATCATCTCCTCAAGGAAACAAAAATGGAGTACTCATATAAATCTTTCTCATTCTTTTAGACAAGCTAACATCTTGAATCACACAAGAAAAATATATGAAAGTATTTTCATAAAAAGAAACATTTGTATTTGAAATTATATAATTTTGCAAGATTCTATAGTCTAAGACTTACCTGCAAGGGGGTTTGCAATCAGGACAGGCAAGGTCCGTTTCAAGGTTTGCCAGGGTATCAAGCAAACATTTCACATCTAAATATAAGATATATAATACCTATATAATGTCTATTGTTTCACCTGTCATTTATCGCTGAATTTAACAGACTATTAGTGTATATCTGTCAAAAATTACGTTAAAAAGTCGACCCAAGAGTCAATCAACATTAAAAAAAAAAAAAAAAAAAAAAAAAAATGGGGTTNGTTGAATATTTAAATATTTAAATGTTGATCTGTTATTGTTTGTGATTCCATTACACAAAGGTTGTTTGGACTGAAAACTCAATTGACATGGAAAAATTCATTATTAAAATACGTGTGATTAGTTTAGAAAGTGTACTTCATTTAAACGTGAGTCTAGTTTACAATGCTGCCTTGTGAAACAAAATACATTTAAACAATTATTATAATTATAATGTTGAACAGCACATGACATACACAAATACTTCACATTTTCTTTCTTATATTGTCTCTGTAATGATAAACCATTTGAAATATTTTCTTTAGAATTCTTAATTGTTAAATAACAAAGTAGAAGTGTATCTGAAGGTAGTTCAATATGTTTAATAACCTACATAAATAGATGCATAAATGAATATTGATACCAATTGCTAAATCCTAAATTTGAATTTAAACGATAACAAAACAATAATTTATCTTTTTCGATATATCGCTGTTATTGGTATGTTTCATATGATGTATATACAAATATACACTCGACTGAAGGTAAGCTAGGGGTTTTATTTATAACTTGACACTTAGTATGTTAAAACTATTCGCAGAAGCATTGCCTACTGACATGGTTACTCATATCATAATATTAGCATAATTTTGCGATGTTTAAATTAAGTGAAGAATGTTTTAATGAAAACATTATAAATCTTTGTATGTATAAAAAATCATTATCAATGTAAAATAATATCTTCGATGCTGTTTTGTTTGTAAGCAGTTTCTTTTTATCTGTCTATGATCAGTACCTTAATTATAGCGAAAACTTGAAATAAAAAATATCTAAATGTATGATTTCAAATTTTAACATCACTTAATCGCTCTAACAAACATGTCTCTTTTGTAAATTTCTGTACGTCTAATTGCTGTACTACATAAATCACAATATAAGCATAAACATTGTTCTGAGATAACGGTATTATTTATGAATGTAAAGGTTCAATATTGTAAATGTAACTTTCTTACCAGCATCAGAAATACAATAATGTATATCATTTTCCTCTTCCTCCTCTATGTAATCCCTAGCGCAATCACAAAGTTCTATAATTTTGAAATTAATACATGGCAGAAGACAAGCCTGAAACCAAACCAATGCCGTAATTATTACCATTTCATGCCCAACAATGCAGTATCATATAATGTACCTTTAACGTAAGTTTCTCATCAATTATCATTTATTACGCAGGTAGAAATTAAAACGTCATTATCAATTTATAAAATACTACGAATGAAGTATCCATCAATATTTAAATCCTTTACGTATTTTTCGGATTACGAATATTAGTGCTGAGGTTTCGCCTTCGACTTTTCTAATGATGTATTTAGTTTAAACAGTATTTATTCAATATTCCAACATGTTACATACATACATATAATTACACAGGGATTGGAAATCAAGCTTAGAGCTTATATTAATTCCTCTCCAAAATATGATGTATTTACTATTGTGTTGATTAGTTCTTGTTGTAGTATTTTATCATTTGATCTCTGATTTCTCCTTGTCGTTTTAAATATTGCATTCAAATACCTACTGCGGTTACACAATAAAACACTTACCTGCATACTGTCAAAAATATTTTTAACATCGCATATTTCGTAAGGGCCGGGCAATCTGTGACTGATTTTCTGAGGACAGGAATATAAAATGGTTTCATTGTTATTACCAGCAAACGAAAGCAAAATTTGATGAATATATATTATTATTCAGTTAGATCAAAATGAAGTGATAGTCGTTTAAAAGATTTCTGTAAAACACACACAGGTAATGATTTTTTTTAACTTTAAAATTCCTTCTCAGACTCATTAGATGCTAGGGACCAAATAGGTGCTTTAGGCACAGATGAAACAAAAGGGCCAGTGCATAAAAATCCTTACTTTATTCATTTAAAAAAAATTAGGAGACTGGTTAATGTTAAATTAATTTTAGATTGTGTACATTATGAAACATGCCACTATTCAAATGAGAATACTGTGGACATCAAAATACGGTAAAACACGGGAAATCCACCTCCGGAGACTACCACCTTTTATCTTGAAAGATGATCGTTACAAACACACAAAAAGCATGCCATATTAAATGACGTCAACTATATACCCTATGGCTGTGCCTAGTTTTTGTTGCACTAAAGCATTCGATCTTTAAATTACGTGATTTCAATGACAAAATTTAGAATATTCCATGAAAGAAAAGCAACTGCCTTCCTGCATCCTGATTCCTATCTCAGAAGTTTTTGTTTAAGAATTTCCAATCATCTGTTTTCATGGCTCAGATGTTCAATGATCTCTTACTTTTGTGATTCCGATATCAACTTCAAAGCCGACAGGAAGAGATATTCCTGTGGTGGCTACAGTCGGAGAGTACTTGTTATTGTAGATTTGGAGACTGATCCCTTCCGACTGTGCAATAAAAGGCAGGTAGTTGTACTGGTCCACGTTCAGAAGGACTTCCAGGCCTACAAAGTACTTCCGTAGCAATTAACTTGCAATATATACAGATATAAAAAAAAAATAGACAAGCAATTTAGAAAAGCGTTTCAAGTATTTTTCTCGTCCACCATTTTCAAACCTTTAACCGTTACTTTTTTCTAGTATGTTTGTTTAAACTGATCTTGCTCAAGTAGACTTCTTTGCTTTCTCTTTATTTTAATGTGATTAAAGTATACGTGTATGTAAGCATATATACATATGCATTAATTATTATTTATGTTTTCAACACCATATGTATTCAAAAATATGTTGATGGTGATGAACTTATAGAAACATTTATCTGGAAAGTTACCATAGATTTCTCCCGGACCGAAAACAAGATGTTCTGATTCCAATTTGAAGCATAGTCCATAGTAGGGATCACGGAACGGTTTGATAATACTAAAAGGGGAATTTGTAGAATAAATTTAATTCATAGATTTAATTAAAAATGTTTCGATTTACTCGGTTAATTCATTGTAAAAAAAAGATAATAGTAAAACGTTTCCCGATTTAATGACAATTGTCTATTTCTAAATTGTTATATTATTGTTGTTATTTTTATTCAAAGCAAACAGGAAACACGTTTGATATGGTAGCATGCAACTTTAAGTTTTCATGATAGGTTTCCCCCCATTTTTGAAGCTGCATGGATATTTTATTTGTTAAATAAAATCAGCATGCGTTAGTATGAATTCTTAATATAAAGGATCAAACTCATTTCCATTCTATTTAACATTTACAAGGGTTATTTAACCTCGTCTGTATGGGATAGACAATGTTTGGAACCCTCTATACTTTACCTGCTGTTACATGCTTTTCTGTTCATTCTACACTCATTTATGAACTGATCTGAAGTCTGTGACGCACCTTCGAGCAAGTCATCTGGCATACCGGCCATTTCAGTTCGAAATGATTGAATGGCATGATCCCACGAATTGTCATCTGATAAACGTAATATGTAAAAGTGAGGTTATTAGAGATATAATGATGCATGAAATATCACTCTCAATTCATCGATTGTTTTGTTTTCTAGCTGCTTCCTTATTTACATGTTATATGATACACAAATTTGTATTTAACATCGCATATTTAAATCAGTAAGCATTAGCACTGTAGTGCTATTCTTGCGACAATAGAATAATGTAAAATAAAAATAAATAACTATTTTAGTCGGTTATAAACTTGGTGATACGTAACTCCTTAGTAGTTGTGTCTTGATAAAGTGGTGGGGTGACACAAAAACCGAACTTCCGCACTGTCTGCCATTACTTTATTAATGTAAGATATAGCAGTCTGCTATTACATTGTGTATATAAGACAAAGTAGCAGTTTGCTATTACGTCCTTAGTTACTACCGCTAATAACCAGTATACAGAATATGCTATTCATAAGCACGCTTATTTGGTATACGTAGACGAAATATAATTGTAAAGAACAGAAGTAATTCTAATAAATCATTAGCAAATACCATTAAGTTTTAGCCTACCTCTAATCTTAGACTTGATCAGACCTAAGAATTATGTAATGTTTTACGTTGCATGAAATGTTCTTTGTAATCAGGTTGTTTGTTTGCCCTCAAAATCAATCTGTATGTAACTGTTAATCACTGTCAGCCAATCGTAAACAGCACTAGGAAACATATCATATTTCACGAGAAATGATAAAATCTGTACTGAATTTTGTAACAGTTAATGATATGAACCACTTGGATGTGCTTGAATAATGTTATTTTTCTGTCTTTTTTTTAGGATTACAAGTCGCACGTGGGACTAAAAAAATCCCAACGTTTTATTTTATACAATATCGAAAGAACGTACAAAATAAGGAGAATTCATTTGATATATATCTTCGCTTTTTATTTAGTGATCCTATAGTTATTGTGTAACGGTTAAATTGACAATGTTGTTAACGAGAGACAACACTTGGACTCAACCTCTGGCAATACTGGTATACATGCCGTTGTAAATATAACGTATTGAATCTTGAAAACAAGAATGGGCATGAGATAAAAAGATGATTTTTTTATATATCAGAAAAAGATAGTCGAACATACATGTGTATCTAAAGATTTGCGAGCATTGCCCGTACCTTTGGATACAGACGATTTAATTCTAGAAAAGAAAACACAAAACGGCGGTTAGAACATTACTTACTGTTCACATATGTATTATTCACGTACAGCGATTCCTACAAAAAGAGAAATATCAATAAAATGTATTTATTTTACAACAATGATGAAACGATATATTTGAACTTGAGGGTTTTGTAGTGTATACATCCGATTGGAGAATCGCACCCCGGCCGTCTAAGTAAAAAGCAAGTGCGCTATCCACTGTGCCATCCGGCTGACTTTTTTTACTATTCACTTCTATAATTTGGTTACAGATACAGTGACAATGAAATATATACAGCAGCGATTTCGATAAACAAATGAAAGTTAATTGTTGCATAAATGTTTTAACTGTTTATTTAATATTTTTTTAGTGTTCTTTTCACTTAAAACGAGTAACAGAATTTTGAAAATACTTACATTGACATATACCTCTCCTAGTGAGAATTCCTCCAGGGCAATTCCAGTATTGATAGAAAGTGCCCGTATTATCCTGAACAGCCGCGGTATTTTAACTGTGTGTTGGTATTGTATTGGGTTCACATTACAGATCGCCACACCGGGGAACGTCAGAGTATCGTACTGGAATTCAATCTTTGTGTTCACCTGGTACCTACGAATAAAATTGTGTGTAATGAAGTTTAGCATAGAATCATCGTGTTATATTGTATATGACAAAACGATTAACGATGAAAACAGAGGGACACCAAATGTCAATAAACAAAACGTGATGCATAAAGGTAAAACATTTCCTGTATCACGTGATGTTTCTCTTCAGGTCCATTATCATATTAAACATATTTTGGTCAGAGACGTTGTTCACGATTTTGGTCGCAATAAGATTGGTATATTGCTTGAGCAGGATCACCTGTTCGAGGATTGATGGAATTTCAGTAAAGTACAGAATCATTATTTTTTCTGTCCGAGATGAAGTCGAAATACTGTAGTTGGCATACTTATATGTTCGACAGAGGTCCGATTTGCCTTTTTCCTGAAAATAACTAAATGTCGTAAATATGTTGAACGACTATTAGTGACATTTTTGTTGTTTCTGTGCCAGCAAATAACACAGACCACGAGTGTAAACCTAAAGATTCAAAGTTATACATTCCACGACGACACAGTGCATGGTTACTTAACCATTTAACACAAATAAGAATTTTTCAAAAGTCACATTTGTACAAGTAAAGTAAACTATTTAACTACGAGGTATGCTCTAGTACAAACAAAAGTCAGCAAAAATGTTCTTAAGAGTCACACTTGAACAGGAAAGCTAAACTATTTAATTAATAGGTATACTCTAGTACAAACAAAAGTCATCAACACGTTTTGGGGTTACAGTTTGTCTGTTAGAGCGACGTGTTGGTGGCTCCGCACTAGTGGTACTCGATAGGTCCTCAAGAGGTTGTAAGTATAGGGCTTATCGCATTCACTATGGGGTACGCCTGTGCGGTCAGGCGGTAATATTCCAGATTTGGGCCTAACGCATGTTGGGCATGGTCAGGGGGTGCATATATGGCACAGGGTATGTCTGGAGGTTCAGGAGGGCCCTCTCGGTGCGGATTCAAGTGTAATTCGTCCTCTTCACATGTGTCCAATGTGAGAGATTCCCATGGTTTTCGTGTAGACGATACAGCACTTTCTGATACTTTATAACAGTCAGTCATTTTGACGCGATACGAAGCGGACCGGAGTTGTGTACCAGCAAACTTCTGAATGTTGCACCACATTTGGTCAATTCTGGTTACTAAATAACGGTCACGAGCGGACGACTTATTTCTAACGGAGTGGAGGTAGACCAGGTCACCAACACGGATGGTCTGGGAGTGTAGGTAACCTACCAGAGGGCATTTTAGACTTTTTACTGGATGGATGGTTGAGGAGTCTGGCGTCGTGTTGTTTCGTTATGATGATCTCATCTTGAACTGGGATCTGTTTGTGGGTAAACTGATCTTTTTGTGTCCATACCTCCCGAGCAGATATTCCAATTTTTCTGATACGCGTGTTAAGACGAGCGGTAGCTAGCGTAAGCAACAATGGAGACACTGCGCGGCACGTAGGGTCCTGACGAAGAATTTCGTCCTCAAGCTCTTGAATAGCTTTTTCGGCCACATGGTTTTTGTTGGTGTTTTTTGCATTGCCAAGTTCTATGGCAATTCTGTGTCCTGACAGCGTGTCATCGTTCACCAGAGCCCAAAAGCCTGGTGCTGGGTCAGTACGGACGACCGCATGTGGACCATCTAAGGGGCGCAACTCTATCAGAGTACGAATAAGACCTTCACGAAGCGTATCACGGCGCGCGTCCTCTAAAAGCTGGGAGACCGTATAGGAGGAGACACATTCACGTACAACAATAATGATCTGTCGCTCGCGTTTCATAATGTCCGCAGCAATTTGACAGCCTATAATAGAGGGCGGATCGCTAGAGGTTTGGTGGTGAACGACTCTAGGGATTTTTTTGAGAGCCGCGCACTGATGACAACCATCACTCACACGCTGGACAGCGGTGTCGATGTCGAGAGCGTAAAAGTAGCGCGGGGTCAATGCTCTAAGTTGATGACATGTCGGGTGGTCTAATTTGATGTGTAGAGACATCAATAGTCCGTCTATTACGTGTCGTGGGACAACAATGCATTCTGATGGACTGTTGAGTGGAAGGTTTCGTTTCATGATGATGAGTCCATCTCGTGACAATGTAGTGACATTAAGGTAACGTTTGACATCACGAAACTAAGTGACCTTTTTGGAGGGCCGGGTACCCTGCCTAAGGTGGGCACATGTACATTTGAGGTCGGCACAGTCGGACTGAATATTTAACCATGCAGATCTGGTAGTGAACGGTAATCTCGCAGTACCATTGAGAACATCGGTCATCGAAATGGCACGCACTACAGAGTCCATTGTCTGGCCAACAAATGCACATACTTGACACACTGGCTCGGAACACTCGGGTGCATTTCGACTGGCTAAGTCTGATTGGAGGATCGCACACCCATCCACATGTCGAACTGATACTTGAAATCGACTCACTGTCGATAGAAACGTAGTGACACGAGGGCTCGCAATAAATTCACGTCGCATTAGTTAGGGTTAGGTTTACTATCGGTAGGTACACCAGTTGCTGTGGACAACTGAATGATGTATGGGCTAAAGTGTTTGATTGCAGCGGCAATTGACAGTGTCTCAATCTCACATGGGAGCCACCGGATTTGATGTTTTCTGAGCTTGGCGCTAAAGTACCCGGCTAGCAGTGATTTGTTGTTTCTGGTGACATATAAGGTAGCTCCAATGCCCGGTTCTTTTACAGCGCCGTCGGTAACTATCCATTTCTGATCACTGGATCGCGGTAATGTGATGGTGCGGTTTGATGAGAGGGCATTCTGTGCCTTTGTAAAGGCTGAGGCCAGTTCATCGGACCAGTGAACGGTTTCTTTCGACTCGTGGCCGGCAACAGCGTCGTCAAGTGGTGACAGTAGTTTAGAACAGTGTTGGGACAACCCTACTAAGAACTTTGAACGATCCAATGAATGAAGGAAGTCCGAAAATGTTTGTCGGTTGAGGACACGACGCGAGTGTCGCGATCCGATGTTGACTTGCTTGGAGGGTTCCCAAGCGCCACACCCAACCCAGGATAGATGTCTGTTGAGGGGAAATGACAGTTTTAGGTCCCGACAAACGCAGATCACACTGGTAAAGAGCCTGAAGTACAGCTCTCCAGTTGTCCAATAGTTCCTCAGGCGAGTTACCACCACAATACAGGTCATCCGCGACCTTAGGAACAACTCCTTTCTCGAGGAGGTCGCCCAAGACAAGGCACGTGAGCTTTTCGAGAGCAGTCTCGGAGCCAGGCATACCCATTGCTGTACGCGCGTAAACTCTCATCCCTTTGAAAGGAGCAATGACGCCGCAGTATTTCATAGATTCCCGTGCGAGTGGGATTTGATAGAACGCCTTGGTGAGGTCTGTGGCAATAATAAACTGCCATTGGGCAATTTAGCGGAGTGTCGATTCTAAATCCGACATGAGCGATGGTTGAGGTTTACTATATCGCCCGACATCAGCGAAAGCTGTCACAAGGTGAAACCCCCGTTGGGTTTTTTCACAAGAAAGGATGGGTTTACATACTCAACAGAGATATTAACGTCTTCAGGACGTCGAAACACACCGATTGCCTCCAACTCGTCAAACACCATCTGTAATTCAGTGAGTTGGATTCGCGAGTACTGGGGTATACAACCCTTACGTATACGTTGGGGAGGTTGGACGGGGCCCATGTTGACTTTAGCCTTGATAGGTCCCGCGGCGCCATTGTATCCATTGAAATTTGGGTCAAACACGTCGTCATACTCATTAAGTACCTCACGAAACTTCGATCTCATGTCAGCGGACATGATATTATTCGGATCGAGTGTAACCTGCTCGGAGTGTCCCTGTCCGTAGGTTGGTGATTTCTGAGATTTGGCTTTAGGTACTGCACTAGGCACGCAGTCTGACGGTGAGCTATCTGGGGGGATAAAGGTAGCTCGTACCTTACACATGTGTTCATGGCGTTCAAGCTGTTGGGGTTCCTAGGTCAAGTTTGGAATACGTTTTTTTCCTGCGACACTTGGGAAAATAGATGGACCAAGCCACGATGTTGACTTGTCATGCGGCTCCACAGCAATGGTCATGTCGGTTTCACACAAATCCTCAGGAAGGTTAATCTCCACGTATTCCCCTGACCAAACGACGGGTTTGACAGGTGAGCGAAGTACGCGAGTCCTACGTAATGCGTGTCGGTCCATTGTGGTCCTTTCGGACCCGTAGGATAATGTCAATGAATTCCCCATCAGTATTTGTATCTTTGCAGGGCGCACTGAAATGTCATTTTTTCCATGAAGGGAATCCCAGCTAGTACATCGGAATCTAGGTTTTCCACAATGAGACCTTCAAAGTAAAGATCCTTACCATCACGAGAAAATATGAGGCGCGTCTCGCCTATAACCTTAAGAGGCGATGAGCCATCAGCCTGACTCAAGGATTGTGTACTTGCTGTGATCTTAGCGCCGAGTTTAGTGACACACGACAATCGCATCATGTTGCCCGTAGCGCCAGTATCAACGGTGAGCCGAACCGAGTGTTGGTTGTAGAACACATCAAAGTACGGGGACTGACGTATTACTGCTCTGTTGATGATATCACATTCAGTGTCACTACTCCCAGACGGGGTGTGTGTAGTATCAAAGTCCTCTACAATACAGGTGTCGGTCGAACCTAATACTATGCGAGCTTTGGCCATGAAACGTTTATCTTCTGGGGGGAGGTACACGCACTTACTAAGGAAATGTTAATCAGGTCTCCCTGCTGCCTTACAGAGGAGACATGCCCTTTTCGTCCTGGCTGCGTATTGGGAACGTTTCAGCTTAAACGACTGAACAGATGATCGCATGGCTCTCGCATCCTCTGTGGTTTGTAACTCTTCCAGTAGGGAGTTGAGGGCCTGTGAAATTTCAGGTTTGATTCATAATAGTGTTCGCGAGCGGAGTTCAGTGCCATATCGCTGTTTTACGAGCTTAGGCAAGTCTATATGTATAAGTCTGAGCCATGACAGGACAACAAAGTTCTCAAGGGAAG